CTTTGCTTCTTTCCTTCCTTTTTGTGGTACTGGGAATCAAACCTAGGGGCACTTTATCACTAAACCACATTCCCAGCCCTTTTGACTTTTTAATTTTGAGACAAGTTCTCATTAAGTAGGGCAAACTGGCCTGGAGCTTGCCACCCTCCTGTCTCAGCCTCCCAGATACCTGGGCTTACAGATGTGTATTATCATGCCTGGCTCATAGAGACTTTCAAAGCCAGACCATGAACACTGCAGCTGTATACTCTTGACAGGACATGGGTGCCAAGAGGACGAGTGTCACTGAAGAAAAGTTCCTGAGCTGCTGTCTTCAGGAACCTATTGGATGGGCAGTGGAGGAGACTGATGCCCCATCCTGATGAACTTGAACGTGAAGTGGAGGAGTTGCCCACCCAGGGAGCGCTGATAGGGGCCCCGTGGACACCAGCTGACTCTTCCTTACCCATCCTGCTGGCTGCCTGGCAAGAAAGTCTCCATTCCAGGTGGTGTTGGATGTCCTTGTGGGACAGTCTGTGGAGGACCTGCTTGCTACACCTGTGTGAGTGTGTATCGCGGGGACATTACCGGTGCTCGTGTTACAGAGCAAGTCCCTGGGATCAGACACCTCCCAGGCCAGCTGCCAGAAAGCACTGTGAGGGAGCAAAGCATTATGTAGCACGGAGGACTGAGTGCTGTCAGGTGACAGTGTGGCTATTCTCGAATCTGTGATGCAGAGGTCCCTTTCCCCACAACTGATGCTAGGGCCAGATTTTCACCGTGAACTCGGGAGGGGCTCAAACCATTTTGTCTCAAGAGCTGAAACCATAACACGTCCATCAAGCCTTCTTAGACGCTTTGAGTTTTATTCAAACCGAAAATAAATCTACATTAAGGACGAACGGTGGCTAAATTTCCTTTTGCACAAATTTGCTGTGGTTTCTGTACACTTTAGGGCTGTTTTTGAGGGAGAAGCATTTTGGAAATCACTAAACTCCTCTTAAAACCTTTTACTTTTTGAGCTCTGCGAGGGTGGAGGCATTTGGAGCAGGAACGGAGCGGGTGTTCTTGGACGCCGGCGGTGAGGCCGAGGGGCCCTCCAGCGTGCGGGAGAAGGCAGGGTGCGGTCGCCTCTGTTCCGCCTGCCCCGGTGGCGGCTTCTCGCACTGTCCCGTCTCAGAAGTGAAAGGGGAGAGTTCAGTAACCCACGAAGGTCCTGCCTCCCCGCGTCTCCGCTGGACCAGTCTTCCTGCGGCTCCCTCCACACTCCAGCTGCCTCTTCCTTTCTCTTTGCTTCCATCCGGCTTTGTTTTTTTCCTCTATCTTTCTTTGCTTTTCACAAAAATGATGTCCATCCGACGTGTAACACCAACTTTACCATTTCCACCTGATGAGTGCCTGAGTCAGTGGCACGTGGCTTGCTCACAGCGCTGCACAGGCCTCAACACCGGCTACCTCCGTGGCTTTCTCTTCTGCCCACGCTGCCCCTCTGTCCTCATTAACTGATAAGGCCCCATCACCCCCCCCAGCCCCTGGAAGCCACATTCCACTTCCTGTCTCTATGAGTCAGGCTATTCTAGGTACCTGGTGTTGAGTAGACTCCTATGACATTTGTTCTCTGGTGACTGGCTTCTTTCTCTTAACGCAGTGTTTTTGCGGGTTGTTTATGTCATGGCATACATGAGACTTTGCTTCCTTTTTAAGGCTGCACACTAATCCACCTCATGGGTAGCCCACTGGTGGGCATCTGGGCTGTTTCCACGCCTCGGCTGCTGTGCATAGTGCCACAGTGCATGTGGGTACGCAGTACCTCTCCCTGCCTCTGCTGTCTTCTCCAACAAGCCCTAAGTGTCTTTCCTCTGGCTAAGCGTCCAGTTGCCTCGGCTCTGCTCTTTGCGCCAATGTCAAGGTTGGCCGGCCCAGTGCTATCAGCCAGGTGGGAGGAAACGACAGGTGCTGTCGGTCAGCCTGGTACCTGGCTCCAGGGTGGAGGGACAGAGAAGACGGAATAAGGAAAAGGTATGGCCTCCTCCGGCAGCTAGGTGACAGTCAGAGGCGGGCCCCAACGAAGCATGCAAATTGGAAGCAGCAGGACAGGATGCTGTAGAAGAAAGAGCTTGGGTCCAGTCGAGGCTCTGGGCCTTACCAGCCTCTGCTGTCTCATCTGGAGAATGGGAATCATGCTTGTATGCCCTGGGGCTATGTTGACGATGAGAAGAAAGAGGCGTGCTCAGGTCGGGCACGGGGCATGTCCTGGGCCTCTCAGCGCCAGCCTCTGGGTTGTGGTACCCGGGTGCTCACGCTGGCAACGGGAGCTGGGGTGCTACTTCCAAGCCATTCTCTCTTTCTGTGTCCTTCCTCCTTGCTTCATGTGCAGACCTGGGCCCCTTCCTTCCCACCCTCAGGACGTTTGCTTTCTAATGGAATCCCACCTGGCAGCTGAAAGAAAGAGAGAATCTTGCATCTCATACCCTGACTCAAGTGGGGCACTTTTCAGATTTTTAAAGCCCCTACTTTATATGTGTCTAGGACAGCGAGAATCTGAGTCCATTCTGCTTTTTAAACAGAAAGAGGGTGTAGTCTTGTCCACGTGGTTCATTTGACAGCTGTTGCCTGAGCACCTACTATGTGCCATGCTTTGCATTAGGCGTGTAAGTGTGGTGATCAGCTGATGTCAGCTCATTGATCTCCTGGAGCTCAGGCTTTTTTCTTTTCTTTTCTTTGCAGCACTTGAGATCGAACCCAGGGCCTTTGCACTGGCTATATCCCCAGCCCCTTTTTTATTATTTATTTTGAGACAGGGTCTTGCTAAGTCACTAAGTTGCCCAGGCTGGGCTCAAATGTGTGATCTTCCTTCCTCAGCCTCCTAGAGGGCTGGGATTACACATATGCACTGCTCAGAGTTTTGAAGAAAAAAGGGAGAGGAGGCAATGAGTCTTCAGTGAGAAAAGTAGGGGCCCAGAGCTCCCTAGAAGCAGGAGAACAAGTCTTGGAAGCAAGGGAGGCTTCCAGGAGGAAGGGTGTAACCGGAGAAGCCTGCAAGAGGCTACTGACTGGCCAAGCTAAGCAACACAGGGAGGGCGGGCAGGGCGGAGGACATGCAGGGCTGCGTAAGGGCCTGGGTGTGAGAAGGTCGAGGCTTTTGTGGAGCTGGAAGCAATGCAGTGTTGGCGCGGAGGGCGTCCTCGCAGGGCGGAGAGTGCAAGCGCAAAACCGCGAAGGCAAACAGGAGCTTGTGCAAGGAGCCTGCTGTAGGCCAGAACTTTGGATTTGATCTCTAGACCAGCGGAGCCAGAGAGGAAACTCTGGCAGGAGACTAGAGGCACGGGCGGATTTGCATTTGGAGTCCTGCGAGCTGTCCCAGAGCCCAGGCTAGCTGGACCAGAGTCGAGTCACAAAGACGAGGAAACTCTCAAAGCTCGAAGATCGGTTTCACGTTTGGGGCGACCAACGCCGGCGCCACGCTTCACTCCATTAACTCGCAGCTTTCGCCCTTATTAAGCGCCAGCTGTGTACCCAACATGGGGCCAAGCCACAGGCTGCAGAGACGGCGACGCGCCCCACGCGGCTAACGCAGGAGGCAGTGCCCGCGTGGCGATGGGCCGGGGAGGAGGGAGGACAGCTCTGAAGATGCAGTCTGGGCAGGGGGAGGCGGCTGGGGGTGGCGAGGAGAGGGAGGGGCGCAGGGGTCAGCCCGGGCTGGGCTGGGCTTGGCACGAAGATTTATAACCGCCCGGCTCGCTCTCCCTCCCTTCCCTCGCCCACCCCTCTCTCCTGGCAGCCTGTTCTAGAGACACACATTATCTCTATTAATACCAGCCACAAGGTCATTACCCAGGCACCAACTTTCCCTTCAGCATAAATATTTATACAGGACTGACCTGTGGCTGCTGCCTTTTCCTTTTATTTGATTCCTGCCGCCTTTTGTGTCTTGCTAGTCTGTCGGCTAACGTGTTTAGCTCCTCTGTCTGGAACCTTCGGAGCCAGCCCGGTCTCTGGGAA